CTGGTCATCTGCCCAGTGTGGAGACAAGCCGACGTTGGAGGTGCGCGTGTGTTGTGTTTTTGTTTTGTTTTGTTTGGGTTTTTGTTTGAGGGGGGAGGGGGGAAAAAGAGGAGGGGAAACCGGATACATGCATGGTGTGAGAGAGGAGTGCATGACACGGTGACTCAGCTGCCTGTTGGTTGGAAGTCCAATGCCGTAGAGGTGAAACTCCCCCCGCCGCGCAGCTCCAACCCCTCAATTACCCCTTCCCTCTCATTCCCGCCCCCCTCCCCCCCGGCGGGTTCCCCCCCCACACGGACTAAAAACACACACACGCACACGTCGTCGACCGTCACTGCTGCAGATTCCGGAGCGAGCTGCCAAGGAGATTGCCGCGGCTAAGAAGTTGGGAGAGGAGGTCACGTACATGACTAAGACACCGGCATGGTGGGTTTTGATGCCGTTGAGGGGTCGGGTCCTTCGGGCTTGTGTGTGCGTGTGTTTTTCCCCCGTTCCTTCCCTCCCATCCTTCCCTTTCTATTTCCTTTTCTTCATGCATTTGAATCTCGCCCGCCAGATCTTATCATTCTCATGTCTCTATGACGAATGCTCCTCCCCCCAAACCCACACATACACACATACATACACACGCACATGGATGCTGTCAGGGACTATGACTCAGCGAAGGGCGAGTGGGGCTGGACACGGGCCCCACCAGCAACGCAGAACAAGGCGGCAGGTGGTGGTGGGGCGGCGAAGCCCCATTCGGAGAAGTCGTTGGGAAAGCAACTCGAGGTATGTATGTGGTGTGTATATTTATTTGTGCGTGTGTGTTTGTGCGTACTTTTGTAAATTTGCATCTTTTGAGGGCGCGCGCGCGCTCTGAAGTCTGCCAATGATGATGTCGAGGGTGAATGTGCACAGGCGCTGCAACGGGAGCTCAAGCGCATGACTAAGCACCTGGTGGAGTCGTACAGGTACGGCGACGGCGTACGGCGAGTAATTGCGAACTTCCTGATGCACCAAAAAGCATCTCGTGGGATTACTCGCGTACGACACATACAAGTTCATGAAACTTCATCAAATCTGTACTTCGACGCGCCTATATTTAATCACCTCACACATACATACATGCATGTACATACTTTTACATACATACTTACATGCTGGCACTAACCGAATGCACGGCCGTTTCTCTCATGTGCAGTTTGTGTATGAAGTTTTGTTACGAAATGAGCATGTTTCCCCTCCCCCCTCTTTCCCCTCACCCATTCTTCCCCCCTTCTTTCCCTCCCCCCCCCCCAATACA